GGCGGAAATGGCTGAGGTGTGAATACAAGACCTGAGTCACTTGAGCTGCAGTTGCCATACACCCCTCCCCCATCCCCAATTCTGAGGTCTCCTGCTCCCATTTTTTTCCCTTTCTGGCTTCCTCCCTTGCCCTTTACCTCCAACTGTGCCCCTGAGTTCCCTGTGTGGTGCACACTCATTTCCCAGCCTAGGCTCGAAGCTGCTGTGGGCATTGTGGAAGGTGGGTAGGGCCTGGGGTAAAGATGCGTCAGGGGGAGACTGGGGAAGAGGAAGTGTCTTGGGTCCCGGGGAAGACGGGCTTATGTTGGTGGGTGGGGACGGTCATTATCAGCTTTCTGGACACACAGAGACAGACAGGATGGATTTCCTCCGGCTACATCTCCCTGGGCTGCATCAGGCCTTGAGGGGGGCACTGGTGAGAGGGGCAAAGAGATGCCAGAGGCTTTTACACTTCTCCCCGGGGCCTCACCTTCCCTCTTCCCTTTGAGTCTCTCCTTAGACTTGAGATTCTTTCCCTAAGATCAGGCAGCCTCCTAGCCTGATCTTTTCTAGCTTTCAATCCTCCCAACTCCAAAAACACATACACGTACCCCCAATCTAGGCCATTTCCTATTACTTCTGCAGATCCTGTTGTCTTCCTCCTCCCAGATCCCAGAACCCCTCTTCCTATTCTGAGTTTCTCTGTCCAAGGGCCCCCAGGAGAGGGCTGGACCTCCCCCTAATGCCTTTGTCCCTCCCTCCTCCTGTTCTTCTAGGATTCCTTCAGCTCCTTTGTCTCCTACCTTATAGGAGATGAGGTCCCTACTGCAGAGAGAAGGGAGGCACAAGCAGCTGAGGAACTGGGGGAAGTGGCTACAGGAAGGCCAGGGAAAACTGTAGAGGAGGAAGCTCAGGAGGCCCTGGAGAGCCTCAGAGGCAGCCAAAGCAAGGGGAATGGAGGACTGAGAGGGCCTGAAGCGTCTAGAAGACACCAGGAAGGAAGCTCAGCTACAGAACAGACCTGGAGTTGGGGAGAAGACAGCTCCCACGGGTCTCAAGGAGATAGGCAAGACGCTGGGGCCTGGGAGGCAGCCAAAGCCTCAAGGTGCCAGGAGCCAAGCGCCCCCTTCGAGGTCAGAAGGAACTCTGAGGCAGGGTCTGAGGCTGCCGGAGACAGAAGCAGCCAAACCCAGGAGAGTTGGGAGAACAATGAGCAGGAAGTGAACAGAGAAGAGACACTGAGAACCTGGGAACAGGAGGAGGAGGAAGAGGTCAGGGCAAGAGAGCCAGGAGGGGCCAGAGGGGTGGAGTCAGAGTGGACTTGGTGCAGAGAGCCTGAGGGGAAGGCCGGCGCTGGCAGGGATGGCAGGGCATCAGAACAGTCACTCAAGGAGGCAGTTGCACAGGAGATCCAGGGGGCTGGGGCCAAAGAGGCTGGGAAGGAAGAATATGTGGTGGCTATGGTGAGGGATGGCCAAAGCACAAGGGCACAGGTGACACAAGAGCCAGGGGCAGAATCTGAGGATGAGGCACCCTTGGGCAGAAAGGAGGTTAGGACAACCTCAGACAGGAGGCAGGCCAAGACAACCTTAGGTGGGGAGGAGGCTGGGGCAACTTCAGGCAGCGAGGAGACTGGGACAACCTCAGGTGGGAAGGAGGGCAGGACAACTTCATTCAGGGAGGACCTCCTAGGAGTCAGAGAGACAGAATATGGAGCAGTCCCAGGAGATAGCATCCCAGAGGGTACTAGGATAGTCTGTACCATAGAGGAGGCCTCCAAGGGAGCCCAGAAGGAGGAGATGAATGAAAACAGAGAGGCTGAGGTGAGGCTGTTCCTGAAACAGAAATGGGCCCTGGGAACTGAAGGAGTGAGACAAGAGGCTAAGGACCAGACAGCGGGGAAGGAGGCTGCGGAAGGCCAGGGCTCAGAATGGGAGGCAGGGGGCAGGTATGAGGGCCAGGCAGATCAGGATGGGAAAGAGGCCAATGGGAGGCAAGATTCAGAGGTCATGGCTCCTCAGGACAGTCTGGAGGAGGAGGTGGTGCAGGCAGAAGAGGCCAAGGAGAAAGAGAATGGCCAGGCCATAGAGGCTGAGCTGTCCCAGGACAAAGTAGCAAATGAGGCTGAGCTGTCCCAGGACAAAGTAGCAAATGAGGCTGAAGGTGATGCTGACTTTGAGGCAACCCCAGAGACCAGACCCGAAAAGGAGTTCAGGGAGGAAAGGAGTGAGGAGGAAGCTCAGATGGGTCGAGAGGAATTGGGGGTAGAGTACGATGGCCCCAAGCACTGGGTCCCTGAAGACTGGGAACATGAGCTGATAGGAGGTCTCCAGATCCCAACAGAGCAACCCGAAGGACAGGATGGTAAGGAAGAGCTCTGGAACATTCCAGCCCTGAGCAAAGGGGAGACAGAAAAGGGGTTGGAGAATAATTGCAGGAACATGGGTTGTGCAAAACCTGATATCTCTGAAGCAGAAGCCTGGGAAAACCAGAGAAAGGATGTAGAGAGAGGGAATACCCAGGAGGAAAAAGTAGGTACTGAAGAGGGGGAGGGAAAGGCTGCAGGAGGCAGAGAGTCTGCACCGATAGAGGTCCTGGAGGCAGGCAGAGAGTGGAACAAAGTAAAGGAAGCAGGGTGTGAAGCAGAGAGCCAGGAACTAGGTGGAAGGTACTGGGTAGAAGTAGGGACAGGCCGGTCACTGGGAGAGTCAGATGCCAGAGAAACCAAGGATGAGGAGGTGGAGGCTACAGTGCTCTGGGAGGTAGACAGAACTCCCAGGAGAGACTGGTGGCTGGAGGAGGCAGCTTCGAACCTGCAGGACAGTGAGGATGATACAGGGGCCAGTTCTTTGACTGCTGAGATTGTGGAGAATAAGGCAGCTTCAGATGAAGGGTCTGCTGGGACTAGGGAAGGGCCTGTAAGAGAGGCCAAGGAAGCTGGGGATGAAGCATTTGGGAGAGGCTGGGACTCAGAAGGGAGAGAGGAAGCTGGCAGAGGTGAGGAGCTAGGTGCAGGAGCTAGAGGTACAGAGGGAAAGGACAAAGGTGGGCAGGAATTTGCCCTGGGGGGCTCAGCAGAGGAAGTTACTGGCAGAGGCGGTCAAGTGGAAGCTTTTGAGGCTCAGAAGGGTGAGCCAGGGGGAGAGTGGGTGGAGGTTGGGGAGTCTGTAGTGACAGAAGGAAGCTATGGGATGGATGGTTTTACCTTGGGTTCCCAGGCAGCAGGGGCAGAGGGGACCATGGCCATAGTGGAAGCCGAGGGGTTCCCAGGAGGGCAGATGCTGTTGGAAAAAGAGGTAGGGGTATGGCAAGCAAGGGAGCAGGGAGAAGGCAGTGAAGGGCAGCGTGGGAACCAGACCCCTGAGGAAGAGGCACAAATGTCCTGTGATATAGAAGATGTTGAGGTGACTAGATACCACAGGGAAGAGGCCGAGAAGATTGACCCAGAAGACCTGGAGGACATCCAGGGCCAGGAAGACCAGTCAAGGAATCAGGATCCAGCGGAAGCTGAGCCTGGACCACAAGAAGAGGCTGTGGGAAGTGCCCCAGAGGATGCTCATGGCAGCTGGAGTAAGGTGAGGGCTCCAGGCAGGGTCCTGAGCCAAACGGAACAGGATCTTGAAACCAGCCCCGTCATACCCAGTGCTCCCATCCCTGCAGGCCCTCCTCTCTGCATCTTGCCTGGATGTGTCTGTGCCTCGGAGCCGTGTACTCCTGTCCCGCAGCTCCTTGCGGCGTCGCTCCCGGCCCTCTTTCCGACGGATCCCTGCCTCTGAGCAGCAGGAGCCTGCCAGCCCCCCACCAGAGGAAGAGCTGTCCACCCCTGAGCAGAGACCTCTCCAGCCAGAGGGACCTCCAGAGCCAAGCCCCACATGCCCTGAAGGGACTCCAGTGCCAGCCAGGAGAAGTCCCCTGGGACACGGGTAAGCTTGGGGTGAGGTGACTGGGCTGGGATGGGCAGGAGGCCGTGGACACCTGGAGACCAGCTCTCTGGCCTGTCTTCCCCCTCCAGGTTTGGCCTTGCACACTCCGGCATGATGCAGGAACTCCAAGCCAGACTGGGCCGGCCAAAGCCCCAGTGACTGGGCACTGAGAGCCAGGCCCTGAGTGAGAGTCAGAGGGCTTGGTTGAGCCCTGTTCAGCCTGGCTACCTTGGCTGCTTTGGAAGCACCCTATCCACTATCTGGGCCTGAGTTTCTTGGAGCTTAATTCACAGAGCAGACAGAACCAGATGTCTTTGAGAACCATGAAACTTAAGGAATCTGATTCTCCAACACAGCTGATGGACCACCTACCCGACCAGGACTACCTCTCATGGCCTGTCCTGACTACCTCCTCAGTCTGTCTCGGCCACTGTCGGGAAGACTGAGAGGGGACAGAGACAGTTCTCCCACAGCCTTTCCTCTCTGACTGCACCCACTCCCTAACCCCCTTCCCAAGTCCTTGGAGAGCTGTGTGGGAGGAAGGCAAACCTCTGGGGTGGGGACCAGCCCAGAGGAAAGGGGCTAGGAGGGCCTATGGAGCTCCATTTACAATCAAAGGTTGATTTAAGCAGACCAGCCACCTTGAGCTTTGCAAATGGGAGCTCAGCCTCAGAACTCTGCTGGTTACTATGGCAGCCACCAACTGAGCAAGCCAGAGTTGGGAAAGGTGGGCCAGGAACCCCGAAAATGTAGGAGCAGAGAGAGGTCCAGTGTGGCCAAAGGCTGCAGAGTCCATTCTAGCCCCACTGTGAGTGTCAGAAACCCCTTCTCTGAAAAGAAGCTGAGGCAGAGAAAGGATGAGAGTGCTTTATTTGGCACCCAGACTGGTGGCCTAGCCCTGGGACAACCAGCAGGCCCTGAAACAATAAATAAACCATCATTTCCCTAAACAATAAATAAATATCTGAGAAATAAATATCCAGCAAAGACTGGAGGAGCCTTAAGTTATTGGGTAGGGTCTGGTAACGGAGGTCAGTAGAGTCCTGCCTTGTGGTGAGCTGGAGGCTGTCCTGTTGGCCCTGACTTCAGTCCTAAAATCCTAACCAGAGAGGGAAGGGGCTAAGAAACCACGCCATCAGGCTGGGGAGCCAGCCAGTGTTGGACACCCGAGGCCTGGACTGGGTTTTTAGCCTGGGAAAGCAGCAGCAAGTCCCGCATGGCCCGAGACAAGACAAGCTCCAAGGAGTGTAGCAACTGGTAGGTGTAGATGAGCTGGGGCCAGGACACCTGGGCTGACATCTGTGAGGGGCTGCCCAGGGTCCCTGGGAGCAGCCCTTTGCCCTTCTTCTCCTCCTCCTCCTCTTCCTCTACCTCCTCCTCCTCAGGGAGGTTGAATCCTGCAGCCAGCACCTGTGAGAAAATAGTCAGGCTGAGATGCTGAGTGAATCCTTGTTCCTTATGTGCCTAGTGGTGCCAAATGACGTCAGAGACCATGAAGTCATGATTTCCCTGGACAAACCCTACTTCAGATCTCCCATTATGTTGTCATCTCATGTTGTCCCACCTGCTTTTTTGGTTCAAGAAAATGGAAGTCACAGAGCGAGATGATGCTCATGGAGGGAGCTGGCTCACCCATCCAGGATTGCTCTGGGTATTTGAGATTTTGGAAAGTCCTCTCTTAAGGGTCGTCTTAGGATCAGAAATGGGTGGAAGGGTGATGTAGCTAGTTTTCTGCTGCTTGCATTTTCGATTCTTCTTTCAGTAAAGGTAAAATTCTTATTTCCCTTTGAAATATTCAGGAGGACCTGGTGATGTCAGAGGATGATGGGGAGAAGGGAACCAACTTTATGATTGGTCCTGTTGGTGCCAGATGTTGTGCTGGGTGCTTCAGAGCTGTTCTCTCATTTAAGACCAGGACCCCAAGAGAAAGCAGAGATTCAGGGTGTAGAGCCAGGGCCTGGTGCAGACACACACACACACACACACACACACGCGCGCACACGCACACATTCACACATTCACACACACACTTCCACCTTTCATACATCTGACTCAGGATCTGGAGCATCTCCTTCTAGACTTTCCCCACCTATGGGCATGGGAGTATTTAAAAAGGGGGCCAGTGACCCTCACCTTTGGTCTATGGGGTTCAAGGGGCACTCTACCTGGAAGTGAAGATGCCGCTGCAAGTCTCGGAGATCCAAACTCATGGCCCACAGCTGCTTCCTCTCTGCGTTGGCCCAGATCCCTTGGCTGCCCAGTCCTCCCAAGAGGGCTTGGAAGGGGCGAAGTGTCATGGAGAGGAATAACAGCCTCTCTGGGTCCTATGGAAGCAGAAGGAAGGGGTCAGGAAAGGTCCGCAGGCCAAGGATGACCCACTTCAAACCCAATCCCATGTCCCTCTGGGTCCCATTCCCATCCCAAACTCCAATACCCATTCTGTCTAAATATCTGTTCTCACACTCAACTTTATTTTCTTCTCCACTCCCTTCACTCATCATCATTCCAGTCTCTGCTGTCTGTGACTTCTATCTTCTTTCCCAACTTCATTTTCAGTCCCACACCTGAACTCATGTCTAACCTCAACCCCTTCTCCATTGTCTTAGCACTCTCTATCCATAGCCCCACTGTACCCTGTTTGATTATTTTCTCCACCATCCCATCCTATCTCCATCTCTTCACTTGTTTTCAGCCTGTCTCCAACCTCTTTCCTATTCCTAATCCCAATTCCATCCCTCATCCATATGTCTAGCTTCATTCTCATCATCCATCTCTTCTCCAACTCCATCCCGACCCCATTCCATTTCCATCCTCACCAGTAATACCCGTCCCTTCTCCATCCTCTACTTTATTTTCACTTTCATCCCCAACCTTCTTCCTATTCCCAGACATTCTAATTTCTAGTCCTGATCCCATTCTATTCCCATACCTACCTTTTTATCTATGCCCACTTCACTTTTACCTCCTTCCTAACTCCATTTCTTTATTCAGCTTCATCTTTATGTCCAATAACATACTCAGCCTCAATTTATTTATATCCATTCCTGCCCTTCAATTTATTCCCAAATCCATCTTCATTTCAATCCTTCACTTCATTTCTAACCACCCAGCCTAGCCTTATTGCTAGCTCACTGCCCCACCCCACCAGCCCCTCACTCACAGAGAGGCTGCGCCAGGCCTGGAAGTTCAGGGAAACATTGGGGAGCTGCCCTCCCAGGGGCAGGAGGTCCAGGTTCACTCCTGGCAAGTGAGATTCAGCCTGTAGGGCAAGGTCTGTTAGTGGGGGCCAGACGGGTTTGGGATCTGCCCATCCCCAGAGCCAATTGCATTAGGGAAACTCACAAAACGGTGGGCCTGGGCCCGAACCTCGGAGAGCAGCTTCCTGGCAAGATGCAGGCTGACCTTGAACTCCTCCCGCAACTCCTGCAGGCTCAGGGGCAGCCTCCCTGGGGGCCTCGGGAATCCCCAGACACCAGCTCGAACCAGGAGCAGGGAGAGCAGCAAAAGGCTGAGCCCTGGATAGATGGGGAGAAGGGAGGCAAAATGAGAGGAGAGCTTGAGAACTCAAGAACACAGGCCAAGTGCTGTGTTTCATCTCACTGACCCCTCAAAACCACTAATAAGATAGAAGCTACTGAAGACACCGTATGGCATCCCTGTGCGACTGCAGGGAAAGTGCCCTCTCCCCTAGGCAGACACATCCTCTCACAGAGTGGCCACCTTTGCACGCAGATCTCCGTCTGGATTTCCATCCCCCACAAACTCCCTTATCCAAGTGTCTTTTTCAGTGAACTAAATACACAACTCTATGTGGCAGCCTGGGTGTTATTATTCCCATTTTGAAGATGAAGAAAATGAGGTCCATGAGGTTGACTTGCCAAAGTATATAGACAGAGGGTGAGGGAATCAGGACTGGATTCCAGGTCTGCCCAAATGCAGATCCTGTGAGCTTCCCCAGGGAACTCAGAGGAGGCAGCCACCTCCCCTGGAGCAGGCATACTCTGTTCTGCCAAGGATTCCCTAGGCTTGGCCAGGTGGTCCTGATGGCCCAAACTAGGACTCCAGGGGTGGCTGGCAATGCCGGAGGCTCTATCCCAGGGAGTCAGAAGGGTAGATTGGTCCCCTCTCTACCAAGGCAAGTGGGTAACTCTACAGTGAGGGAGAAAAAGGGGGTGCCAGTAGGGAGAGGAGGGCCTGGATCGTGAAGCAGAACCCCTGTTTCTCATTTGGGTTCTTCCCTTGAGCAAGCCTCCTCTTATTTCTGGGCCTCGAACTCCCATCTATAAACCAGGAGAATTGGACCAGCTGAGTCCTGAAAAGGCTTTCTGCCCTGTGTTTCCTGAACAAGAGGAAGAGGGGCATTGGGACGGGAGTTTTGGGAAGAGGGCAGTGTTCTGTGGTTTCTCCCTCAGGGAGAGGAAATCTAGCAATCATCCGAGTTACACAATTCTCCTTGAAACACAAACCAACACAGGCCTGAAGTCTAAGTCTATTCCTGCTGACCCTCCACTGCATCCCCCTTCCCTGTCTGTTCTTGATTGCTAACCCCTGGGCTCTGCTCCTTGAAGTGTCTACTCAATAAAAACCAAGGGGAGTTTTGGGTAGGTCCACTTTCCCCATGGACTTCCAGAGGGGGTGGCCAATGCCTGGCTCTCTAACCTCCAGGATCCCTGAGTTGGGGCCACTCTGGCATCCTTGAGACTGTGGGCGGAGTAGGGTTCTTCCCAGCTCTGTGTTGAAGGAGAGCAGTGCCCCAGACCCTGGTGGATATTGTCCACTCAGAATTGAGCTGTGTCATTTGCCACCAGCCCTCCACTTTCTGCTGGAGCTCTGGGGGCCCCAGACCCTTCCCCTGGTTTCTCCCTAACCTCTGCAGACAATTCTGGGTCCTTGGCCCTGGACTTTGATGGTTCTGTTCCCATCTTTTAGTCCTCAGTCCCTGCCCTGACCCTACCATCTGCTCTTGTTCCAGCCTCTGAGTCCTTCAGTCACCAATTGTAGATTGGACCTCTTTCTGAACCTCAAACTACAGACCCTCGACCCAGGTAGACTGCTGACTCCTTGACCACAGAACCCCTACTTGTGCCAACTCTTGGCTGTTGTTCCTTTAGGCAGCACCAGTTCTCAGCCAGGCTGTCTGGCCTCTGCTCATTCACTCCAACCAAACCCTCCATTTATCTGCCAGGCCCTGTTCCTGGTCAACCCATCTGTCCAACTCTCCTCATTCATACTGGTCAAGTCTTCCCATCCTCTCTCCAGCCCTAGCCCAACCACCAGCCCTCCACTCTTGCCCCTCATTCAAGCCAGCCAAACTGTCTCGTGCTCTGCCCTGCCCTGGCTGAACCACCACCTGTCTGTCCAACCCCTGTTCCCCATTCATGCCAGTGTTGTCCCCATCCTCCAGTGAGCTGCATCTTATATCCTAGTCTCTGCCAAGTGGTTGCCCCTCAGCCCTTTGCCCCCATCCACACCAGTCAAGCTCTCCCATCCTCAGTCCAGTCTCAACCAAGCCTCCCACCCCTCTGCCCCGAGCCCTGGCCTCAAACTCACGCCAGCCAAGGTCGCCTGCCTTCTGGCCCATGGCAGGGCCCAGTCTCTTTGATCAGCCATCTCCCGGGTCAGGGGCATCTTATACGGGGGCTGTGCCCAGTTTCACTTTCCGTCCTGCTTGTACTTTCAGCTTTGCTTTAACTCAGTCTTCCCTCCTCACCACCCCTTGCTAAAATGGGGAAATGTAATTTCCCTTCCCAGAGGGGGTGGGAGGTGTGGTGGGGGATGGCGGGAAGCTGGGGTTTCGGTCAATCCAAGCTGCTGACCCCTGCTGAGCTCCTAGGTCCAGTCTTCCCCTCAATTCCCCACTCTGGTGAGCCACCCTGCTCTATTTGCTGGTAGGTCCCAGAGACTTGAATTCTATCCTCTTCCTCTGCTGTCATTATCATTCTAGTGGCATCACTGGCCTAATGTCCTTGTAGCGATAAATGAATGGCCAGGTAAAAAGACTGCCCATCAGAGGGGACTTGGGGGTCTTACTCCCTTCTGGTTTACTAGATGGCTGAGGAAGGAAATATAAGGGAACTTGGGGCTCACTGGGTAGATGAGATGGAGCTCTGTATGGGACAGAGGGCCCTCAGTCTGGGCAGTGTCAGGGATCAGTGCCAGGGTCAGGGCTGGATGTTAAGTTTTATTCAGGGTCAAGAACCCAGTCTTTCACCAGAATCAGATCTTGAATTAAAGCTCATTCTATAATCAAGATCAGTACATGATGTAGGGTTGGACTCAGAGCTTTGTCTGGGGCCAACCTGGCTCTGTGCTTGGGGTCAGAGCTATCAGTGACCTGGGGGCTCAGCTTGGGATGAATTAGGGTTGGGCTCAGTCCAGTTCAGGCACACAACTCTGTCTGTGGTCAAGATTCTGACTGAGCCTGCATCTCAGGTCAGAGCTCAGACCTGGGCTGGGATAAGAGCTCAGTTGATGAGCAGGGTGAAGGCCCAGCCTGTGACCAGGTTGAGGTTGTGTGAGGTCAGGATCAGGGCTTAGCCAGGCTCCATAATAGTCCTGGCGTTTCTGCTCTGGCAGGGTTTCATCAACCACAGATCTCCCTTCCAGCACAGCCCCACCCTAAGCCCCACCCTGGATTTCCCATCTTCAGGGAGAAGATGGGGGTTTCTTGGTCTTCCCCGAGGCCTATTGCTGCCACTTTCCTTTTGGGACCTGTGGGGTTTCCCTGCTGGGTCCCTGTTGTGAGACAGAAACCAAGGGGGCTTCCCCTCCCTCAGCCTTGTCTGGGTAGCCAGGGACCAACTGCCAGGGAAGTACCAGCACCAACAAAAGAGCAATCCAAGAGGACTGCTGGAGGAGAAGGAAAAGGAAGAGTGGCTGGCACCTGCCTAGCCCAGACTGGTTTCCTTTGCAGTGCCCCCCAGTGGTGGATGGCAGCTCATTTCCCAACATCCCATGTGCCTGGGGCTCCCTGCAGGAGGCTGCTACACATTCTGAGGCTCATGGTGAGGACAGAGGCCCTGGCTGTTTTTCCTCACACCCCCAAGTCTTGCCATCATCCTAGAGGCATGTCCATCCCACTCACTCCCTGATCGCAGCCACTCCTGACTTTGCAAACCTTGAACCCCATCCCTGTTCTCTGGCCACAGCCTCTTGGCCCTCCCAACCTTCTCTTAGGGCTCCCTGAGACCTCCTGTCCCTTGCTGCTTCTCTGCCCTTCTTGATCTGGCTGTAGCTGACTCCTCTAGTCTCGCCCCTCACTCTCACTCAATTCCTGCTCCAGCCTCTGGAGCTTCATGCTTGAACATGATGAGCCACCTCATACTTCTTTGCCTTTGCCCAAGCTGGTGTCTGTCTAGAATGCCCTCACTGTCTTCTCTGGAGTTCCCACCTCTCAATCTTCTCTGTTTGTGTAGGCTCTGTCACAGGCTTCTTCCTTGAATGGCTTATCCTTTCCTCCCATAAAGCTTGTCTTTAGTGGACATTTAACATTTGTTTATCTTGCTCACTCTATCCTCACTCATACCACTCCAGCCATACTGACCTCCTCATTGCTCCTAGAACATGTCAGGCATGCTGCTGCCTCAGGGCCTTTGTGTTGACAGGAGAGACCTGGTTCTTCTTGCTGACGCATGTCAAGAATTACATATCAGCAAATCTAGTAGTATATAATCAGTTTATTAGTGGTCCGCTTCCATGGAAGAGAACAGGACTGGGTAGAGTAGGGGGTGAAAGGCAAAGTTTCAGAGCAAAGCAGGGTGACAAAAGCAAGAGAGGCTGGAGATCAGGGTGGTAAGCCCCTGGGCAGCCTGAGGCCAGAGGCCCTGTGGCTCGAGAGCTAAGAGCCCCCAAGAGAGAGAGCAAGTCCTTTGTTCTCAGGACTTATATAGTTGGTGGGATAGGAGGGAAAAAGTTACATATTGATTAACGGGTAAATGTGGCGCCAGCTTTCCTGGGAGGATGTGACTACCCAAACTTAGGTATGTGTGGGGGTCTGTTAGCCCAAATTCTATCTTGCTCCAGACTCCATTTGGTCATCTTGTTGTAAAACAAATACCTGACAGCTCATTAAAATTGGGGCAATTTCCAAAGTTATTTAGGGGCTCTTTCTGTGAGCATCAGGGACTCCCTCCTAAAACAGATAGTGACCAGAGGTAGGCAATTAACCAAAGTTATTTATGGGTTCTTTCTTAGGGTCCCGAGACCCTCTCCCACATTCAGGCCTTGGGATGAAAGCACAGTTTCAAGGCTTTCTTTCTTGTTAATATAGTGTTTCTTGTGATATTGAAACGCCTGGCAATATTATCAGAACAGGCTTAGGACTGCTGAGTTAGCATGTGAAACTTGTCTCCTCGCTGCCTCGGTTTCTCTTTATTCTACCTAATTGGTAAAAGGCGTTTCCTGGCAACCAGGGTGCTAAATGCTGGCCAGTGACAGTATTGCAGTCTCAGAGTTCTTCCTATGCTGTCTCCTGCTTCATTTGCACTTGCTGTTCCTTCTGCCTAGAACACCTTTCTTCTAGAAATCAGCAAAGCTTACTCTCTGCTTACGATCTCTGCTGAAATGTCTCCTTCTCAAATAGGGTCTTCACTGACCATGCTACTAAAAAATACAACCCTGCCCCTGCCCTCTCTATTCTCTTTCCTGCTCTTTTTCCTATATAGTATTTTAGATATATACTATTTTTAGATATTTAACATTTTCTTATTTATTTTTGGTCTCTCTCCATGTACTAGGATATGGATTCCACGAGGGTGGGGACTTTTGCCTGCTTTGTGCTCTGATGTATCCCCAGTAGCTAACAATAGCAGGTTCGTAATTACCCAACAAATCTGCCTTGTGCCACGAGTGCCTCAGTGAGGTTCTTCTCATGGCTGGAAATCTGTGGAGCAGCAGGTCTGGGACCAGCCTGAGCCCTGGGCTCTCACTGCCAGCCTTCTCCCACTCTGGCCAAGGCTCCAGCTAGGTGCTGAGGGATGTAAAGGGGGCACCTGGGCATGGCCCTGGGCTCATGATCTTAGCAGATCCTTGGCAAGAAGCCAGAGGGCTGGTGAGGGCACTGCCAGCCTCTGTCCATATCCTTGGAGGGTGGGTCTGGGCTCATCTATGCCTACCTGGCCTCAGTTTCCACAAGTTAATCTTGACTGATGAGCTGAGGCTAGGGCTAGGGCGGCCAGCAGGAAATGGGAGAGACGTGGTGAGGGGTGAGAACTGCGGGAAAGGAAACCAAGAACTCTAAGTCGTAGATTACGGGGTGCCACTAACCCTTCTGGTGACCTCAGGCGAGTCACTAGCCTGCCCTGGATCTCAGTTTCCTCAGTGAAAAGTGGTAACAATTTTCAAATGCTGCCACTATTATTATTTAGAGAATGAAAACCTAGATGCTTTTTAAAAAGAGAAGAAGTGTACACCAATTTTCTGATTATTTTTCAAGCTCTGACACAGCTTTGATCCTGTGGGGCACTCCACGGTGTTGCATGGGAATCCTGAGCCCAGGAAACAGAAATTAGAAGCTTCAGATGTGACATCAGGATGGAATCAGGGAGGGGAAAATCTTATTCGAGGTCACCCCCTAGATCGGTGACAGAATGAAGACTGGAATTGAGTCCCCCATTTTCAGGTTGGGCTGGTGAGGGGAATCCCTGGGCCCTGTGATGCTTGCTGTCAGCTTTGAGGCTTGGAACTGATCCCTAGGTGAAACCTAGATGGGTTTTGGTGAAGGCAGGAAGGCTGGGGGTTGGGCAGGGGAAAGGTTAGGATCAGCTGGAGCCGGGGCCACACCTCTGAATTTCCCAAACGTAGGGTGTGAGACCCTGAGGCTAGGCACAGCCCGACCCCTCCCTGGAGAGTGGAGGTGGATGAGGCCTGGAGTCTCCTGATGACTGGATCTCTCTCCTGTTGTCCACATGCACCCCACCCTACACCCCATGTGGGGTTTAGCAGGATTTATTTCTACCCCCGCCCACCCACCTTTGATCCTTGGAGGGGGCGCCTGGGGAGGGGAAAAGGCCTCACCTCTCTTTTCGCTATAAGACCATGGAGGATCCACGAGGAGGGCTGAAAGAAGGGGCGGGGCGATGTCCCATGGACAAGATGGCCATCACTGGGTGTTCTATGTAAATGCCACACAAATGCAAGGGTGGGGAGACTGGGCAGCTCAGGGTATGAGGAGAAGGCGGGCCGAATTTGCTGAGTGCCAGGAAGGAAGAGTTCAAAGCCCAGGAAGAGGGCTACAGAGGAAAATCACCAGCCAAGGGATGAAAAGTCCCAGGCTGAGTCCCAGCTCTGCTCTGCCTTTTCCCACACGCCCTCTCTTGAGCAAGGTGCTCAGACACTTTGTGTTCAGTTTTCCCATCTGTAAAATGAGGCCCATCTCTCAGCCCATCAGTGAAAGTAAACTTGGGAGGATGCAAGGCGTCACAGGCCACGGCCCATTTGGGGGTCAGACAGACCACACTCCTTTCACAGCTCCGACACTTCCCAGTGTGACGTTCACCAAGATACAAAACCTCCCTGTGCTTGGCTCATCTGCCAGCTGGACAGGATGGCTGTGACAACTGTGCATGTAAATATTTGGCACTGCCACTGAATAGCTGTCGGGAGCCAGCCAACAGCTGATCCCTGACACAGTCAGGTCGGATGAGACGCATCTGCACAGCAGAG